CCCAACTCTGTATCGATATATAGTGAGTCTACATCGATGCTAACAAGAAAAGTGTTCGCAGGAAGCTGTAACGTGTTCAGTTTACTTAAGAAAAGATACGTGTCCTTGATATAGCTTGGGGGATTCTGAGCCAGCGGTAGGACCCGCAGTCACTAATGATTGGTCTACCCGGGGGTGTCCTGAAAGGGACAGACCACATCTCGGGGTCTTTATGAATTTTAGGCAGCAGATATATCTGGCTCTGGGATTTTGGGGACCTGATAGTTAAGCAAATGTTTAAAAGTGATGTATTTTAGCTCATACAGGTTTAATCATGTCTTGTGTTTCAGTCTGCATAGATTTTGAAGAGGGATGTAATAGTTCCTGTTCTCAAGCTGTCTATTTGCTTCCATAATATACGCCTGCCTGTCCTGGAGCACGATTTGACCCCCCTTTGTCAGCCAGTTTAATGATGATGTTATCTAGCTTGCTTAAAGCTGTGAGGGCTTGTCTCTGGTCCCTCATGATTCTAGATTCCAAGTGTTCTGACAGAAGGGATCTGGAATTGAGCAAAGGCCATCTCATCCTTGTCTGATTAAAAAACTGTGTTGATTCCGAGAGGGTCTCTAATTTAGACTTCCAGGTTGAAGGCTCTGTGAAAGGTAACCTTGTGAAATCCGTTTCATAAATAACTTGATCTAGTAGTTTTAGCTGTCTGTGATATAGTATCTGTAAATCTTTGCAGAGCTCCAGTCAGTCAGGGGGTCGGTCTGAAGGTCAGCCCTCTTTCTAAAACCATTCTATCCGTTTCAGGCGGTATGAGGAGCAGAGCACCGTGACATTGGATGGTTGTGGGGATGGTCGTTTAAGACCTTACTCCCCTTCACATATTTAACTGATCCAACCAGTGGTCTAGTACGGCTTCAGCTGTGGTGCCCGCCTGAAAGAGTATATTAGGTATATTTTTTTTATCTCTCTCTAATCTTTCAGAAAAATTTATTACAGGTACTTTAATTTTGGTGTTGGGGAAGAACATTTTTGCTGTGATAACCAGGTGTGACATTTGTGGCTGTTGTTGAGACCTACAGACAGGACATCCTCGCTGACCTCAGCTACTGCTCTGATTTTTTTCTGACTTCTCAAAGTTCTTTTGAGAGTTTTTGATGAAAATTAATGGGTTTTTTTTAAAATTAGGTGGTTTACTTGTGGTTTTAATTTTATTCACTAACTCTGTACATCACTTTTGTGTGTTGTACTTGGGGTACTTGTTTTGTAATTATCATTGTGAAAATAATTGAGGCTTAAAGCCTGGCTCTTTGTAGTTGCTAATACCTTTGAGTTGCACGCGTGACAGGCACATAGGAGCGTCGGTAGCATTTACAATGCTGGTTGGAGCGTTGGCTGCAGGTAGCGGTTTTGGAAGCTGCTCTTCTATGGCCCCACGTAACCACGTTGTTTATTGCGGCCACATCGGTAATCCACCACAGTCCATCATCGCTTCCAACCATGCCTGAGAAATATGCTGTGACAAAAAGAGCACAGATCTGACTGGCCTGTGAAAAACAAGTGACCTGAGTCGGAGAACAATATATTTTTTTTATTTTTATGTTCAGAGCTGTCTGTGTCGTACTGAATAAGAGGTTTTGTACAGGTGTGACCAGTGAGCAATCAGTCACTGTCAAACACCTCTGTTGAACCATCATCCAACACCTCCACAGTGCCTGTCACTGCATCACCTTCTGCCACTGCACATGACCCCATCACTTCCCCAGTGCCTTACACTGCACAACCTTCAGTCACATTCACCTTGGCTGCAGTCGGGCCTTCCTCCACTCCCTGGGACACCCTCCATCTTGTCTGCAGCTGGGGCTTCCTTCTTTGCCTCTAGTGCATCTACTTCTATGCCACTCAACATTGCCTCAGATGTTCCGACTCCCAGGTCTTTCTCTGCTTCTACCTTTATGCTGGGCCTTCCAATGTCTCCAACTAGCCTGCTGCGGGAACATCTGCCTTGTTCCTCGAGGACTTTTCACCTGTCTTGGTGAGGCCATTCCCAAAAGCAGGGCCTTGAAAGAAAGCTACAAGAAAAAGGAGATCCACTGCAATTCTAACAGACACACCAGTCAGGAATTCCCTCTAGGAGGAGCAGGAGAAGACACTTTTGTCAAAAGTAAAGAGAACGCTCTTTTCTACAATTCACTTAGCAGATGCTTTTATCCAAAGCGACGAGTGACTTTTCAGAAAAGGAGAAAACAGAAAAGATAGGAAATGAGAATGGAAGTGTGGAGGAGGAATTGAGTCCACATGAGCAGAAAGAAACATCAAAGGTAAACAAAAGGCATCTATTGGAAAGGAAAAAAATGCAAGGAGGAAAAGAAAAGTCTACAAAAGAGAATGAGGATGAGGGAGATTCAGATTAATAAAAGTAAATCAGTGTATCACTTAATGAATTTGTTTGGCAATCGAATTGTAACTCATCATGCCACTGTTACTGTATTGTTGTTTGTATTTTATCTTTTAAAGTTAAACATGTTGACTATTAAAGAGGTCATATTATGCCCTTTTTGGGGTTCATATATTTAATCTATGTACCTACTAAAGTATGTTCACAATAGCTAAAGTTCTAAAGTGTCTGTTTTCATGTACTGCCGCTCCATGCACCGGCTCACTTCTGACTCTCTCTCTAAGGCTCTGAAGTGCCCACGTTCAGAGTCCCCACGTGTGCCAAGTCTGATCTGATTGGTCGGCCTGTCGGCTCTTCAATCGCTCAGCACGGTTCTCGGAAAAGTCACGCCCCTTTTACCATATTGGGAATGCAGCCACTTTGGCTCCGATGGGAATAAAAACATTAGCACCTTAGCACTACTGTGCTACCGCAGGCTACGGCATATCGTGGGCGTACAACATGAGCTGCTGGCTTGCCACAACAAGCCAATGGGCTTAGATCAGTGATCTCACACTGACAAGACTTCACACTGACAAATTTTTTTCGAGGGGGCTAGAACCGAGTGTTACATGCAGCTAATGCTACAGCTAACAGGAGGATGTAGGAGAAGCCGCGTTTCCGCGGACTTTGAATTTTTGCACTTAGCTGTGCCTAAACATACACAGTGTCATGATTTGGTCTTTTTTTGTTTTGTTTTTCAGTGTTTAGTGTTTCTTTATGTTCTAGTGTGTTTTTGTTACTTTCTTGAGTTCTCTGTGTATCTTAGTGTTTCTTGATTTTATGTTGTAGTTCTAGTCCTCAGTGTTTCTTGTCTTGTGTCCATTCCCTCCAGTGTGATTGCCCTCATTGTCTTCACCTGTGTCATTAGTCTCACCTGTGTTTGATTACCCCTGTGTCTATTTAGTCTCAGTGTTTCTTCCCTTCTGTGTCAGTTCATTGTATGTCGTTTGTCGTTAGTATGTCAGTTTACTCGTGGCTCTTTGTTTTCTCCTGATTGGATTTGTGAAGTGAGCTTTTATTTGCCTTTTTGTTTAATAAAATAATTTTTGTTAATTCTGCATCTGGGTGGGTTTTCTCGATCCGTGACACAAAGGAAACTTGGAGAACACACTAAAGAGCATATAAAACCAGAAAAAGCATAATATGACCCCTTTAACCTGTAAATAATTTAAAGGTAGAATTTGTAGAATTTAATGACAATGTTTACATTCAAATATCTAAATTAATTAAAAATGTATATTTTATCATTGAGTAGGCCAATTACATTATCTCAAATATTTCCAACAGTTATCAAGCCAGCCTCTGTGCATTTAAAGGCATGTTTTACTTTTTTCTGTGCATGTTCTCATAAAATGATTTATTATTAAACTTTTCAGATGATCCGTGATCCAGAATGTTGTCGTAATCCTACCACACTTGTAGGGGTTTTGAGTTGATCTAGCTGGGTTAGCTCGCCATCTCGATCAAGGAGTGGTCACATTCAAAAACCTGACCGCTGAGTGCTAATTCATCTAATTGTTTTTCCGTCTTGGACAAACAAACAATTTCGCCCTCTCGTGCCAGCATGAGTTGGATGAGGTAAGAGGAATTGACCTTGTGTATCGGATGTTTCTGATAAGTGGGTTGAGCTCTGATTGGGTGATAGATTTTAACGAAGGTCAGGTGAGATTATGGAATGTTATAAGAAAAAATAGGGAAGTTAATAATAAATACAAAATAAAATGAAAACCGATTTATCATAATCTATGGAGGTTCACAGAGGTCATTCCCCTTGCACAGAAAAAAATTAGATCGCTAATTTAAATTAAATGAATTAACATGGGATACAATAGCAATACGTAAACCCCAGAATTGATGTATACATTTATTGCTGCATTTCATTTTTACAGGACTAACCCTAAGGACAAAGTGTTAATAAAATGCAAATGTGTTATTTTATTTGTGTTTGCTGAAATGAATAAATAATTTGTCAAATCTTGGACTACAATTTTGCTTTTACTAATTTCTGTACTGCCATGTTTATTCATTTACTTATTGTCTAATTACACAACATACAGAAACCAATAAAAAAGTAATCACAGAATTGATTTTCCTTAACAGTTAAAAAAAAATCTAACTAGTATTTCAAACAATATTTGCCATTCATTTAATTATTTTGCACCTTTTTTTGTTTATGGACTTCAGAGTTGAATTTTTTTCAATATTTGTCATGTACAGGTTTGTGAAAGTATAGACCTTTCTCTTTTTTTCAAATTTTCCTTAATTTACATCAATACAGTTCTAACTTTTTATCGTACATTCAGATAATTATTATACGGACAATTAAGTTGTTGCTTTGGGATTATTTTATGATTCTAACCAACCTTTGTGAATTAGTTCTCCAACCACTAGATGGAGGCTAATTCATAAAGTCAGTCAGTTTACAGTGTGATCATCTCTAGACAGAGAACACAACAGAGAGAAAATCAGCAGAGTTTCCCACAACTTCAAACATTTGGTCAGGCCAAGGAGAGAAGAGAAGTCTGATTGAGACTTCACAGACAGTTTGATTCAGACACCCTGCAGATCAGTGATGATGGGAATGCTGAGGACATTGGTGGCCCTTCTGCTCCACCTGGCTGCCTCCCTGGCGGTAAGACATTCAGAATAATTGTATTTTTATCCTAATAAGCTATGAAGCTGTAACATTCTTTCATGCAGGTGGTTTTTGGAGTATGTGTGCATGTTTTGAGGCAGATCTGATCTCAAAAGAGGTTATGTGAAACTGTTTTCCTTCTATCGCTTATCAAATTTCCCACAGTGTGTAGAACCAGATTTATTTACTGTAAAAATGACAAAAGCAAAACCGTCAAATCCTCACATTCAATAAATTGATACCATCAAATATTTATTGTTTTTTGTGACTTTTTCAACTGTTTTTTTTATCTACTATGTTTTGCAGCTCGGTTTTTTTTTCTGGAACTATTTGTCTTGCAAAGAATTTGCTGTTGAGAAGTGAAGGAGTCATTTTAAAACTATATAAGGATTGAAAAGAAAAAAAAATCCCTATTGCTCAGCATCATCAATTTATTAGAAAGAATGTGAGGCACAAGGATTTTAGTCACTGTTAAAACTATGAAGAAAAAACAGAAAGCAGAGTATGCATTCTGTCATGTTTAGACTCCAGAGTCAAAGCCAACCAGGACTCTTTTATCTAAACATGAAAAAGTTTTGTAGCTTTAGTTTCATCTTGACCCTTTATTCTGTTCCTACTACTTTTGGTTTGAGAGTGTTTCAAAACTAGAAAGAATTTAACACATTTAAGCAGAACATGTGTTTTAACAAATGAAATCCTATTTTAAAATATACCCAGGAAAATAAATTGAATATTGGCTGATAAAGAAATAGTTGTGGCCTCTCAACATCAAACATACTGAAGGGTGGATAGATCTGATTCTAAATGTAATCCTCTGTGTTACTGTTCTTGTATTTACTTTTTCCTTTCTTTCCAGGCCCCAGTGCCATGTGAAGAGAAAGTGGTCCGACTGGAAGCCGAGATCCAGGGACTGAGGGAGGTCATCAACGACCAGCATCACTACATCCAGGAGCTCCAACAGAGCCAGGCCCAGCAGCTGGAGCACATACCCAACTCTCACCTGGGCCCTGACAACCTCTACAGAGGTAGAGTCCAACTGACCATAAAACAGTACATTACACCCAAACAGCAGTTTGCTCAAGACAACAAGCTTGGTCTTAATGACTAATGGATACGAAGGTTTGGAATTGTTCCAGTAGATAACTTGTGTTAAAACAAGGCAAACAAATCAACACCAATAAGGCACAATAACAAAAAAAAACTTCCAATCGTCGCAGCAGAAGACAAGCAACTCCCTTGTTCAGAGGGGTAAAATGACTGTTTTTGTTTTATGGAATATGGTGGCTTTAAAGACATACAGTAGATGGAAAGAATCATTTGTGGTTTCAAAAAAAGGTATTTTGCTTATTAATCTCTCTGTTATTTTTGTCAAAACAGACAAAAACAATCTGAGCCAGTCAGTGGCCAAAACAAAACGTATTGGTGGAGGTATTATTTTGTTGAATAATAGCCCTCATTGATTAAATTGCAGCAATTATTGACTTTTTTTTTGCAGCCTTCTAGCTGAAGCAACTCACAAGCTTTTTTCTACCTCTACTCATTTAGACCCTAAAATATGTCAAATTTAGAACCACATTGAAAAAGGTCAGTGTAGAACATAGAGGAGTCCTGCCCAAATTAGTCATGGATATGAGTCAAATTGGCTTATTTTCTACTCTCACCTATTTCTTGGAAACACATGGTGACATTGGACCAGACTCCTTTTAAATCATCCTATCAGTGGTCAGTATTTTATTGGTAAGTCAGCAATTCAAGCTGCCTGTAGATGCTTCAATGCTATAGGTAAAAAAAATAGACTCAGACTCTCACAGAAATATTAAGCTTGTGTTTCTGTGTGTTAAACTAGCTGATTTATTTACCTATGTATCTCTGTGCCGTTGTGTTCAGACTGCTCCGAGGTGTTCGCAGATGGTAATGTGGCTAGCGGGCTGTATGTGATACGTCCAGACGGCTCTTCCACCGCTCTGAGCGTCTACTGTGACATGAACAATGGAGGAGGGTGGACAGTCTTCCAGAGGAGGAGAGATGGCAAGGAGAGCTTTGACAGGTGCGTACATGTCAGTTCAACACACATTAAAATGCATACTGACCTGATGTGTGCGATGTCTAATCAGCACATCCCCCTCTGTGTTTGTGTGCAGGGCGTGGGTGGAGTACAAGAATGGCTTTGGTGATTTATTTTCTCCTAATGGAGAATTCTGGCTGGGCAATGAAGCTCTGCACTATCTCACCTCACAAGGTGTGTGAGAGAGAGAGTGTGTCTGTGTGTGTGTTTCTCATTCTCATACATTAAAGGTTGGTTGTGTGTGTGTGTGTGTGTGTGTGTGTGTGTGTGTGTGTGTGTGTGTGTGTGTGTGTGTGTGTGTGTGTGTGTGTGTGTGTGTGTGTGTGTGTGTGTGTGTGTGTGTGTGTGTGTGTGTGTGTGTGTGTGTGTGTGTGTGTGTGTGTGTGTGTGTGTGTGTGTGTGTGTGTGTGTGTGTGTGTGACTCTGTACCTTTTAGGAGACTATGACCTGCTTATCAACATGGAAGACTTTGAGGGGAATCAGCGCTTTGCAGAATACAAAAACTTCAAAGTTGGCGAGGAAAAGGTAAATATGAGAGAGTCATTAAGACTGTACCGTCTTGTTAAGGTCAGGGTTACCAGATCTCATTGTTTTAAGCCACTTGAGGCTTGTTTGTTTGTTTGTTTGTTTGTTTTTTTTAAATGTATTTACTTATTTGACCTTCTTCCTTATTTCTTCTTTTTTTCACTACACCTGTAGTATGAAGGAGAATTAATAGCTGACTCACAGTATGATACATACTCAGTATTTGATATGTTCTGTGACTGCTTCATGCACAAACAGTTGATGTGAGCTTCTCTCACATAAATATAAACTCAGTGCTGTTTATATAAAACTACTTTGTTCAAGCTTTTACCTCAATGTTTGTATTGAATTTATGATTAACCGGTGAAAGATTCATCCGTTGGATAAATTTTTCATTTGGCATTTCTGTCTGGGTTGACTTTTTTTAAGGAATTACTGCAAAAAAACAGACTCCTTGTGCTTGATTTATGATATCGATTATTTACATTTGAAGAAACTTCTCATGCCTAATGAATTTTATACATTGTTGTAAAGGTGAATTCTGTCTGTCTATATTCTATTGCTATCTTTTTCTATCCTTTAATAACAGCTCATCATCCTCTCGTCACTTTCTTCCCTGATATCTTTAACCTTGCCCTCTTTTCATTTCCCAAAACAGCCAGGTTCTTATTTAGACTATGTATGTTCTTTGTGTTTATGACCTTTGCTTCGATAAGAGCTAGGACGTCTGGCTCCAGGTTCCTTCAGGTGCTCTCCATGTCTTCTTCTTCTGTTCAGACCTCTGCCTCACCCTGCCCTTTTCTTTTCTCTTCCTCTTGTCTTCATCATCCCTCCATCTTTCCTATTCTCATGTTGCAGTGGCGCTGCTCTATTGGGAACCAAACCTCAGCAGGCGTGAAACTGTGAAACGTGTTTTGTTTATTATAATTCCACTTTTAATGAGGTCTACTATTAAGCAGTTGAAAGCTTGTTCATGGTGGAATGACACTGTGAGAAGAAGAAACACATACAAGTTGAAACAAACCGAAACTCTTTTGTAAATTGACAGATTTTAAATGGTTTTACTCCCTTGCTGATTTAAAGGACCAGTACCAGTTACATCTGGGGGAGTACACTGGGACTGCTGGGAATGCCCTGGCTGACACCAATGGCCCCCCTACTGCTGAGCAAAAATGGACCGGTCCAGGCATGGGGTCAAACGGGGTCAAATTCAGCACCTATGACCACCTGAATGATGCTGCTGGTGATGTTGAGAATGAGGATGTCAGATGTATCAGACACAGCAGGTCGGGCTGGTGGTTCAGCAGGTAATGGACTAATACAGGAGAATTTAATATATGTTTAATATATGTGTTTCATAAATAGAGTACATGTAGCTAAGATTCTTCTCTTTCCTGCCCACAGGTGTGATTCGGGCAACCTGAATGGTCATTACTACAATGGACCATACAAAGCGATGGCCGATGACGGGGTGGTGTGGTACACCTGGCACGGATGGTGGTACTCCATCAAATCTGTCGTCATGATGGTACGAGCTGCTGACCTCGAACATCCGCCGCCAGTCATCCCCTCATTACCCGGGGAACTTGACCCCGGCAAAGCAGGAGGCAACAAGGTTGATGATCTTGTAAATTTCCCCGTTTTGGGATAAATAAAGGATTATCTTATCTTCCTCAAGGCTAGTAGGCTAACAACAAGCGGGGAGGCAACAAGTATCTCCTACTGGAAAGCTCTTTTTTCCTTTTGTTTACAGTTTTTACTTAAATGGTTATTCAGTTTTTGTTTCTTGCCCCGGCTCCATTTTCACTGTTAGACCCTATATTTTGGGGTCCTAATAACTAAAAGGGGACAGAAGTTTTGGAATTGCTCTAGTAGATGGATTTCTTTTGTCTCCAGCTTCAAAGCCTGTTGTAATAGCTTCAATGTAATCTTTTAAAATATGCCTGATTAAAGGCAGAATATGTGATTTTTCACACTAAACTGTAGCAGAAATCAAATATATCCTCTAAAGATAACTGTGAGTCATGACTGTCTACAATGAGTGTGGCTCCTCCCCTCGTGTATAAAAGTTGTTTAATTGAGGGACTAGAGAAAAGAAGAATAACATACTGTACTCACTGCTTAACTGTGTTTCTAGATCACGCTCATTTCAGGTAAATTTACATGCAGTGTGAAGATACGAGCATAATAAAGATCGCTAGCATTAGCATGCTAACACAACAATGCAGCGCGAGTTGTTTTGGTTTCATGCTGGTGCTCAAGGGCGACATCTGCTGGATCAAAAAATTGCATATAAAGTCATTAAGGGACTACTACTATACGTTACTGTCTTTCTATACTCAGACAGGCTCAGATGTTTGTTAAAACTCTCTGAAAAGATGACAGAAAGAATCCCGAAATGTTCCTGTAAGAGCCATAGATTGATCTCATTAAAGCCAACAGGCTCCACTGACAGACTGATTTGAGCAGGACACTGAGGTCCCTGATCCACCTCTATCTGAAATGGTTTGTTTGTGCTGGATCAGAACTAACACTATCACTGTAGTCACACACTAGTACAATTACAAATAAAAACGTAAAACTTCAGCAACAGAAGACAAGAAACTCCAGCTTTTAATTGTAAAAGATAAAACATCTGTTTTGTCTAAGATGTTTGGTAACAGTGAGGAGAGCAAATTAACCGCTGTGTCTAGATAAAAAGTATCAGAAGTTCTTTCTCTGTTGTTAACTCTTCTGTAATGCTCTTAAAAACTTTGAGTAACTATCTGAGCCTGTCAGGGTAATGAAAGGAAATTATAACAGAATGTATGTCTTACAGCTGCCGACCTTAAAGTCACCTATAAGTCGATATGTAAAAAAGAAGGAGGAGCCAGTTTATGAATAAATATTGACCTGGCACAAACAAAACATTCTAACCAACTCTTTCCTGTAATTCTTCTGTTGGACTTTTTGAAAAAGTCTGTACCATTGCATTTCACTGAAGTAATAAAACAATGTTTCATTAATCATATTTCATACTGTATTTATTCTGTGTCCAAAGTAAAGCAGAACATGGTACACTGAGGCAATACGGGTACATCTGAGGTTTCCAGGATGAACACCAGACACACAGAGTTTTATTTGTTGGGATTAGTCAAACCAGAGTGTTGGTTTAAGGGAGATTTCTCTGTGGAAACGATCACTGATGATTGAATAAGTGACCCAAAGCAAAGACGGATAAATAAATGATCAGTCATTGGTTCAACTTTGTCTTATTTCTCTTTGGGCACAAGGCGTTTTCAGAGGATGTGTGGGGTTGTATGTCTTTACTAAAAAGAGATGAAGGGATATAAGAGCCGAGGAGGGGGATGAACACTTAAATAAACTGCATATTTGGCTCTGAGAAGATGTGTGTGTGTGTGTGTGTGTGTGTGTGAGTCTGCACTGGCCTGCTCAGATTTAACATCCAAGGGTGATTACATTCCACAAAGTAGATTAAGGTAGAGGTTGTGAGGAGCTCACAGAAGGAACAGACATCCATTGGATCAAAGGTTCATGTCAGTAATTCAGGAAAGTTCCTTGGATCAACAAACTGAATATTTGTTCTCGTTTCTTCCAACAGGAGCACATCAAGTCCTTATGCTTCATCCAGAGATACAAAGCAGATCCATGATTGAGCCTCGCTCTTTGGGGAGAAATAACGTCCTCTTTAAAAGAAGGAAAAAGGCAAAAAAAATAATAATCCATGCTACTCCACCAAAAGTACCTCTTCTTTTTTGCCTTATGATTCACCAAACCCAAACAACTCAGAGTCTGTTTCCACAAACGCCTCAAATCCAAGGTTTGTTCTCACCCTGCGCCTTCAAAAAAGGCTATAATGAGAGATCAGGATGAGCTGAGCTTTAACTTTACAACATAACAACCAAAATAAAACGTTTAAGGATAGTCACAACGAGAGTGAGGCGATATGTACAGACCCTGAGATGTGCCTGTTGTTTAGGTTTTCTTCAGAAAAAGAAGAAAAGTTTGTAGGAGAACAGGCTCTTGATAGAGCGCAAGGCTAGTCCCACGCTCACACTTAAGTGCATCGGTGCCACTGCAATGTCATTTCACTTTCAAAATAAGAGTCTTTAATATAATTTCTTTTCTTAATTACAAGTTCAACACCAACATCCAACGACACCGCTGAGACGGAAGTCTTCGTGTCAAGAGGTCAATGAGCAGAGGGATGGGATGCTGTTCATCGTTTGTCGGGGTTATCTCGGCGATACGGGTGCAGCTGTGGGGAAGGAGGCAGAGTTCCGGGGTGAGCCGAAGGGTGAGGTGGGTGACAGACGGCGGCTGGGACTGGCGAGCAGGTCTCCGTTGTGCAGTTTCCACAGTAGCTCCTCGTTCTCCATGGACAGACGCTTGTTGACCTTGGACTCCTTCTGCAGCGTCTGCTGGAGTTTGGCCTGCTCTGTGGACAGTTGCCTGCAGGGGGAGACAGAGAGCTGTTACAGAGGGCTGCAGGGAGACGCACTGAGGGGGGTCAGAATCACAGTGCAATGTTTGGACAGTGAGAACTGACTGTGGAAGTCAGCCCATGAATGAATTCACTCTTCTGCTTATTGTGATGTCATCTTGAAGTATTTTGAAATGCCTAATCCCTAAAATCTGAAAGGTTATGCGGTATAAATCAATAAAAATCTACCAGTGTTGGAATTGTGTCATAAATCAAAAAATACATATATATTATTTTGAATTTAAAAAAATCATATTGGTTCATGAAATTCTACCCTAACCCATTTTTACATTGATTTTGTATTTATTCACTTTTGGTTTGAACACATCTTAACAGGTCTGATCTAAATATGAACCCAAGACTGATGGAGTCTCAGGAAAGCTGACAGATAATTCACAGGTACACACAAGCTGCAGCAGGAGTACGTACCTGGAGAGAGCTGCGTGTTTGTCCATCCTGGCCCTGTAGTCCTCGTTCTCCTGTTGGACCTTATTCAAACACTCCTCTAGCTTCACGTTAGTCTCCACCTGAGACATACAGCGCACGCAAAAAGCCAAGCATCAGTATATTACATATATTATTATTATTATTATTATTATTATTATTAATATTATTTTTACCCATAAAATGTGACTCATAACCACATTAAAGACCACAGCAGGTCAATAGTTCTCTTAGATGATGAAAATGATTTAATAGACCGATCTTGCTTCTTACCAGTTTGTTCATCTCCATCAGCTTCTTGTCCTTCTGGTGCAGTTGGGTGTTCTTGATCTCCAGCACCACCTTGAGACTCTCCAGCTCCTGCTCCAGGTACACCGTGTGGGAGTCCTTCTGCACAAACACACGCACACAAAACCAGGTTACACCAGGAAGCAGTATTTGCGGTTGTCGAGGTGACTTCAGGGTGAACTCTGGGTTTTCAGTACCACAGAGGTGTTTCCCTTCTGAACGTGTGGATACATCAGAGCATTGCCCAGCTCACATTTTGTCTTTTCATTAAAAACAAGCGGGCTACAAAGTTTATTTGCTGAATAATTAATCATTTTCTTTGAATGGAAGATCCTGGTGCGCGCCAAAAGCTACTAACAAAGCATGCTGGGAAAGCAAGACTAGATTTTTTGGTTAGGTTATTTTATATTTATTATTATCACAATGATTTATTTTCTATTTCACCTTGCAATTCTAAGAATGTAACTGCTTTGCATTTTAATGTCATGGTAACGTGTTGACCCCAGGAAAAGTAGTTGCTACCTTGGTTGCTGTTAAATGTGATCCAAAAATAACAATAATAAACGAAGAACACCACCTTCCTCTCCCCTTTACCTCACTAATGGCTGCTTGTTTGTAATATATTTTATGGCATTAATGGTAGGAAAGATGCAATTCTGGTTGTTTATCTTGATGTATTGTGAGAATGTCTATCAAAAACTGCTCACATGACCTCACATGACCCCTAATGTCAGGACTTTTTTTGATTGACAGTTTTCAGTCTCTTGTTTGGGCTGTTAATCAACAAAACAACCACTTTTTTGTTTTTGTGTTTTTGAGTTTGAGTCTGGAGTCGCAGTGAGAGAAAAGTAGTACGAGAGCAGCAACGAGATGTACCAGATTCTTGTCGCTGAGTATGTGTCTCCTCCTCTCCTCTTCTGCTTTCAGCTTCTCGTTCAGAGTATCCTTTTCTGCCGACAGCTCCGATACTTTCTCCTGTTAGGATGACAAAGAAGAACAGAGAAGTTATTGTTTTTGGTTTTGTGTTGTTTTTTTCTTACAAATCTCACAAAACTGTAGCAAGTTCTTGATAGCCTACTTGATAAAAAAAGACTTCCTGCAGAAATCTGAAAATAACTGTTATTGTTCTGCTGCCGTTAAGATTCAGAGAATTTGGCAGGCATGTTTCCAAGATAGTCGGTACCACTCAAGAAGGCTATTCTGTCTGACTGCACTCAGCCCGACATGCAGAGTCCAGTACTGATTCTGATTATTCAACAACTGCATTTTTTTCTAACAAAACCGGAAAGGTTGGTTTTTATTTGGGCACAAGCACAACCTTTAACAAGCTGCAGTGTGTGTCACTCTTTAAAAACTCTGCTTACTGAGGCTTTTTTACTTAACGGTTAAATTGATGGTAAACAACAGTCCATTTCTAGGTCTTGATATTTGTTTTACTGAACTGTGAGGCCAACACAAAGTGAGTTTCAGTTTGTTCCAAAGAGACATTACAGCTGATTTATTTGAGCGCTCATTTGAATAAATAAAAGTCTCTCACATTGAGCGACGCTTCAGTCTCCTTCACCGCTTTCTGAAGATTCTCCAGATCTGTGTGATGAATCCTTTTCAGCTCTGCGAAATAACAACACACACAAAAGCACAGGTTATCACCGACAGCAACAAAACAATGACTCGATCAGGGTAACTCATATTGTTCCTCTAGAAGTAACCTGTGATCCCAAAATGTTTCACAAATACTTGACTGTTGCATTACAAACAACAGCAACATAGTTAACTGAATAAATCAATAATGAAGACTTTATCAAGATAAAAAAATGAAACAATATAAATATTGAAAATACAATTGTGATTACTGGGGGAATATTTTGATCATAGCTAAACCAGTCAGATTAAAAAAAACATAATAATATAGGAATGAAGAAGACTGATTAAACAGACAATAATAATGATGATGAAATATAAAATAAGGACAGAAATAACATGCAAAAAAAACACAATCCAAACTCCATTATGTTACTGATGTTACACAATGAAAACATACTAAATGATAATACTGACTTAAAATAACAAATGGCTTTTTTTTTTCTACAACTCTCTCTTTAAATTGTCACTTGAGTCCATGTGTTCATACTGTCATGCTGAGCTGTGACTGTTGTGTATTTGTTGTACACACACCTCCTATAGATGTTTCATACTCCAGTTTTACGGACTCCATGTTCTTGCTGTGACTCACTTCCTGGTTCTTCCTCTCCGTTTCTTGTCGGCTCCTCAGCTCGTCCACCTACATGAAGAATAAAAACCACGGTCACTCCAGCTGTGGGAGTTTTCATGTGTTCTGTATTTTCCAGCGTTTTAGTAAGGGCTGAAAATATTTCCAAAGCACTCCTCTAACATTAGAATATTTTACGTCAGACATAGATTTGATATAAAAGTATGAATGTAGAAGCAGCCTCACATTTGTTCAAACACACACTGACAGCATTTAAAACTGATCCTACCGTAGCAAGAAAGCTATGAAAAAATGCCTGCAGCCATGTTAGCTGTACAGCAGCACATATCTATCAACTATAGCCAATTTTTTATATTGTTTCTGTCACCTGTTGCATCATTTTCTCATAATAAAACTTGATTTTATGGCTGATGCGCAGGATGAGGAACGGTTTTAACGAGACTAACGGGCTCATACTTGTTCGTGTGTACACACAACAGAAGTGACTGTAACACACAAGAGTGTGTGTGTGTGTGTGTGTGTGTGTGTGTGTGTGTGTGTGTGTGTGTGTGTGTGTGTGTGTGTGTGTGTGTGTGTGTATGTTCTGACCTGCTGCTCCATCAGCAGGCGGCACTTGTCGGCCTCCTCCTGGTACGTCTGGTGGACTTTGTCCCACTCTGTTTGGTAAAAACTCCTCAATCTGACACAGAAGAAGAGAAAATGAGACTCTTACAAGCAGACAAAAACATAACCTATGCAGACTTGACAAACAACATTCATGTAAATATTTTGTATTTATAGTTTAAAGTGTCTAAGGTATGAGTGAATGGCACACCTGTCCTCCAGCTGCACCAGCTCCCCCTTGTGCTGCTCCTCCAGCCTCTTCAGGGCCTCCTCCAGGCTGGCACGCACCTCCTCTTTCTCCTTCTGCAGATGCTTGCACCACTGAGCTGACGCCACTGAAAGGAGAGAAGAAGAAAGAGAGGGAAAGTTCGTTTGAAGTTTTTAAATGAAATACCCCTAAGACCTGGACTCTGGACTAAAATCACTGTTAGAAAATATGAAATCATGGCTCAGCCTGCAGAGTTATGAAGGATGACTTTCTGTTTCTGTGTTACACATGCTTTGAATATGCTTCAAAAAGATGACCTCATAACTCCAACAATTCCATAGCTAATAGCCGAGCTTTGATTTTAAACAGTGTTTTAATTTACAATCGATTGTGTTCTATTCTTTTATTAAAGATTATAAAACAATCTTTGTGTTTTTATTCTTTACTTTATCTGTCATGTTGTTTGTTGTAACCACCAGCTGATACTTCCTGGATAAACACAGACAAGGTGAGAGGGAGAGGAGAAAAGTTGAAGCACTGTTTGATACAAAGCAACCACACATGATGAGTTGTCAACATGACCTGTTTCTCAGGGTCAAGCGTAAAAACATTTTTTTAATACTGAATCGTCTTCCTATGTGTACAGCAGATCTCCAGGGTGCCTACAGGCATTACTCAAACACGGCTTCTTTTCACTGAGACTCTGCACAGGGGTGTAGCAGTAGTACATTTATTTGACACAAAGATGACACATTAACCATCGATTACCAGATCACGTGATTCAAACCGTTATCAGCTGTGATGTGTTGCACTATTTTACTCTTCACCCGCGTCAATGAGATCCCTCCCTCAAAGAGTTTTAGGAGATATTAATAAAAAAATGATGCAGATTTCTGAATCAATGATGTCTGGTACTTTAAGACTGTAATGTGATTTAACTGTTACCATTATCTTGCACGCACTATTCAAAGGTGTTACTTAACCAGTGAACAGTGTAGGACCAGGAAACACAAAATGCAAGTCAGGTTCAGAAATGTGAATCTTTTCAATCTTTTCTTTCTTTCTTTTTCCGTAAAAATTTGATTTGAAATGTGTTACAATGATTCAATGACATGAGCCATGTAGCCACCTCGTCTAATTGGTTCAATGTTTTCTGAGACTGTTAATTGTCAAGAATATGATGATAAAGTTAATATTCAGAGGTTATGAGTCAAAGTATTTTGTGAGTGTGTAAGCCAGGGAGTCTAATTTAAAAACTGCTATAGTCATGATTTTGACCTCAATATAGAACCTGGGTTAAAAGATCTGCAATTGTATTTATTAGTTTGTTCATCTGTAAAAGCAGACAAACAAACAAAACTCTGCATTTCATTTGATTTTAAAGTCACAAAACAAAACATCCCCACATACAGTAAGTGTATCAGTGTTGTTTTATACCCTTGTGTTTGAAATGCAGGTTGGGATTGTTGCAAAGAAAAAAAAATGAAGACAAAATAGGTCAGAAGGTTGGACATCAGCTGTTTTACACATAAAACTAAATATATTGTAGGTGCACAAGTGGAGCCATGTTGAAACTTCTATTTTGAGCGTCTATTGTTTCAGTGTCTTTTTAAAACACACAACATCACAAACATACCATCATATGTCAGTGCTGATACGCCTGGTGCAGTCAGAGTCTGAACTGGTAATGAACAACAGACTGTGTGTGTGTGTGTGTGTGTGTGTGTGTGTGTGTGTGTGTGTGTGTGAGAGAGAGAGAGAGACAGTCTCATTGCAGTTATGCTGCTCCTACTCCAGACCCGACCCTGGAAACATCTGCAAGTCAGCTCACAAGTATGCAGAAGACTCATTCCTTTCATGACTTATTCAAATCCTCACAAGCACACGCTCGCTCCCCTCCGTCACTCCCTCTGTCATCACACGCTACTTTGATTAAGGTCCATTTACAATTTGAAATATCTCGGGATGATATCCAGGTGACTAAGAGAACACCTGAAATAACAAAAGACATCTCGCTGCTTTTGGGAAAAGTCTCACCACATCAAAAATACACACACACATCGACCCTGTCTGTAATATAAATGTGTGGTAACAGCTGGCTGTAGCTGGGGCACGTGTTGTTTCCCCCTGAATGGAGCTCTACAGAGCGAGGGTAAGCGCCGCCTGTCGCAGTGGTGACGGAGACAAAAAGCCAACGACAGCTGAGAGACAGTAAGACCTAAACTTGTTCTCTGTCACTGACCGGACGACACACACACTGAAACAGCAGGTGCATGGCAGGTGTTAGTGCAAAATAATGACATCATTCCAGGGGTTCCCCCCCCCGCCACTCTGCCTTCTACTCAGTATAAACATGTTCTACCCAATCTATAGTCAGCGGGGTTTGAGGTGGCTTTCTTTTTTTTATCCTTCAGACACTGGGAATGTTCTGCTTTACTTTCGTTTGTCATGCTGTGTGCATAAAAAGGTTTTAAACGGATCTATAAGGAAAAATGCAGCCAGGATTAGAACTCAAATGCTGTATACTTCAGACTTAAAATATGAAGTGTGAAACCCAGGAAACCTCCTACCCTGGACCACAAATTGTGTTTGTATCGCATGGGGAGAACATTCAATTTGTGTTAAACACGGGGCACACACAGGGAACTTACAGTGGCATTTGTTTTTAGTTTTATTAGTCACGGTACGATCAAGATTACATAAAGTAAGCCACAGAAGAAGAATGCCGCAATTGACCAGAAAGTACACAACCGCTATGTTAGGTTTGAGACAAGCACACTTTGTACACTGTGTATTTTAACAGAACTTGGATTAGCACAGTGTAAAAGACAGCAGTGTACTAATGGGAGGTCCCAATTCAAGATACAGCAAGATTTACTGTCAGTGCAACCACGATAACTAAAAGCACCTGACAGTTTAGCCTTAAAGGAATCTGTGTAATTGTACATTGTTTCTCCTGTCACTGATAGAAAACAGTAAAAACATTCACTCAGCACATGGTGACAGGTTCAGGTTTAAAGCGCCTCAGGAGCAAATATGTCCTTTATTTGCAAACATCCATCATGTCAGAAGAGACTTTAAGCTGCTCATCTGTTTGAGAGTAAATCTCTCTCACGCCGAACTTCTTAAGAAATCTATTCATTCCTTCTGACGGTAGAAGACTAAACTCCAAATGTTCATTTCAGAGGACGTATGTGGTGGTAGAGGAAACTCTCTAAAGGAATCCCAAAAATGCCACAATGGCAAAAAACATGTTAACTTTTTCAATTTCTCTTATTGATGTAAAAATGTAAATAATTTGATTGTTAAAGTTTATTGACCTTTTAGCAGTTTGTCAAGATTTCAGGGATATGAAGCATCAGAAAATAATCCCAGAAAGGACTTCATAAGAAGATAAAATAAAACGGAGGCCTTGGCATTTCTATCAGAGTAACTCTGTGCTGCAAATCTTCACAAGAAAACTATTAAACAGCCAGACACAGTCAAAGTCCCACAAACAGGCTGATCCTGTTCAGTTTGACTAGAAGACGGTGAAGACAGTGTGTGTGTGTGTGTGTGTGTGTGTGTGTGTGTGTGTTGTGACAGCAGGGGTCTATACATCGCTGACATTCCTCGACTCTGTGTGTAAAGAGACGAGCCAAAGGTCAAACGCAGTAAAAGAAAAGATTATAGTCACTGCTGCTCAGAGTGACGGATGGAGGGAAAGTGGAGGGGGGAGGTGGGGGGAGAGAGAGAGAGAGAGAGAGAGAGAGAGCAAGTGATGGTGAACAGCATGTGCTTTTCCACAGCAAGTATTTGTGTGTGTGCAGGTAGTTTGAGTGTGTGTACATGGAGGCCAGATATAACATGGCATCCAGAGCAAATGTGCGGTGATCCTCTCACTTCTGAAGGAATCACAGTTGTGTGGTTATTTTTAATTTGTATTATTTTAGTTTTATTTTGAAATAAAACAAACTGGTTATAAATCACACACATAGACATACAAATATAAAGGACAAACTTAAGAAATATAAGTGCCCAGTGTGTTGTGTGTGTGTGTGTGTGTGTGTGTGTGTGTGTGTGTGTGTGTGTGTGTGTGTGTGTGTGTGTGTGTGTGTGTGTGTGTTCAGGTCAAAAAGGGTCCTGTGACAACATGCCCATAAAATGTTTGTAGATAACAATGATAACTTTGGCACTTTACCTCAATATCTACAAAACTAGCAGCCAATCACACGGCAGTAAAACCGTGCTAACATCCAGTCAGTCTGAAGTTTAAAGGTTGGAAACCAGTAGATATTAAAACATTTCCAGCTGGAGGCTTTCTTACTCAGCAAAACTCATCACTTTTAGTAGTTTGAAAAGGTAAATGTATCCCTAGACTGAAAGAAAGCAGCTAATGTAAACAGCAGCTCGGCTAGGGCCCCTAAATCCTTACTCCAGAGTGTTGTAGGAGAAAAAAATGTGTTTTTACACAAAACTTATTTGAATGTGGTTTTTATCCGTTTTCATTAATGTTCGTTTTGATGAGAAGAACCCTCTGTGAATACATCGTCTCCTGAGCTGTTGTCACACATGCATGCACTCCTGAACATTTCTAGATGATGTGCAGGACGGCCTGTCCCCAATATCTTAATGACACGCTTAATGTACCTCACATCCTGAAGTTTCCTTGTCATATGGGAGAGTCTCAGGGGGGACATCAAGACATGATGTAATAAAGACACCGTGAAAATCAGAGTCTGACACAAAGGACAGAATTTCGCCTTTATATATCACTGCTACAAGTAACTGGACATGTTCACAGTATCAATGAGAATTAACCAGATTATTAACACCATTATTATTAACATTAATCCCCCGCCTGCTCTTACTTTCTATATATTATCTGCTGTGTGAACACATGCAGATCACACTGAACATTTTGGGAAATTTTCCAAAAATCCTAGTTAGACACACATATGCAAAAAAGAGTCATTGTAAAAGATTGTGAACTGAATTGTATCTGAAAGTGAATGATCCTGAAAACATCCACTGCTTTAAGATCAACTTACAAGACATAATTCTGAAATATCTCATGTATGTCTGAGGTGTCACCTCCGTCTCTCCTGTCTGTATTGTTTTGTAACTATTAAGCTTGAACACGTGTTTTGTCTCAGTTATAGTAACATGGCCGACTGCCAAACACAGCAGAGCACACCTCAAACACACACACATACCTCAAACACACACACCCAGAACACACACTCAAAAATGACACATGGAAACTGTTCCGTAATTGTTTTCTGAGAAGTCACAGGTAGTGCCAGGTGACAACATGCATTATTATAGTTTACTGCTCACTGATCTGCTGTACTGGCTGTAAACACTTTCCTCTGAAGTGGTTTTACCGGAGATGAAGGGCTGCCGCTTTTCAGTGCTACTGTTGATACTCACACTGCTAGACTTGTTTCTCTTAAAGAGTTATCAAGTGTGTTTGGTTTTTAGAGTATTTGAAAACATTCTATTATTACTTTTTGATTGGGTTTCCATCGCTGTCTTTAAAGGCACCAGACTCCATTGATGAAAGTACTAATTTTACAAGCAGAATTCTTGAGTTCCCGGAGTACTGCTGCTCAGATCGCTTTGTCTTTTTAATGTAATGGTGCATTGATCCAAAGTCACAAACTAACACTAACTAACTAAGCATTCAAGAAAGCTATTAGCAACTCCTCACTGTGTTGTCAATGGAGTCTGGTAAGTGAGAAGAGAGTGACATAATGGCTTTTTAACCAGACATTCAAAATAACATTAGGAGCCTGCCTGTGGCAAATACAGCAACTTTTAATGATCAGACTTTAATTACGCACACATTAAAGCCAATTCAACAGCTGCAGGGTGAGGCACGTTACTAAAGCATTTCATTTGATTTTATTGAAGTTCTTGCTATTTTTTTGCCTTATTTCTTTTGTTAACTGTTTTGCACCAAAACACAAAGTTAAAAAAAGACAAAAATACAAATTCCTTGTAAACACAAAGTCAAATTCCTTGTATGTGCAAAAAAACAGATTTAACTCCAAATGCAAATCAGAGACAGCAACAAAGTCAATCAAACACAGACTTCTGATCACACTAATGTCTCAGAACTGTAAATCTAACAACTTACTGATGCACTTGTATAATCTAGTGATCCTCTTGGCAGGATAAAAACACCAGTGTAATGTGCAGCGAGGAGCAGCTGCAGCTCAGTACGACAACAGAAATAACACTAGGTTTTGAATAGCAGTTGACCCGGCCATATGATAAGCTTTGTATGTGTGTATGTGCATCATGCAAATACACTAGAGAGAGAGAGAGAGAGAGAGGGAAACACAGAGAGAGAGAGGGCAAGCACATGTATGAATTAGCATTTGGTGGTTTATGGGTGTGTGTGGATGTTGATGTGTAAAAATCGTACCCAGCTCATCTCGGAGGTTTGCCAGCTCCAGTGACAGCTCCTTCTTCTGCTTCATGGACTCTTCACGCTGCAAAGAACAGAAGAAGAAAATTAACACCGAGGCTGTGTCCAAAAATGATTTAGTGTTCAGAACACACTGTGAGGGATTATGGTGTGTTAGGTGAAACACAAAACTACGACCATTTAGGTAAACTATAGATTTTTGTTCAAGCATCAAATAGTGAACATATAAGTAGAGCACTATTGTAAAGTGACGACTTATAGGCATTTTCATTTTGTATAGAATTGATACTCAGTGCACTAGAAGTGATCAAAATGTCTTATGAAACAAAAACTGATGTAAATAAAGAGGTTTCTGGTCTCACTCTGCCGTAGATTGTCAGTGACCCATCCCATGTTCTACATGCTGAGTACGAGCTGCTGCCTGGCTAATAATGCAGGACAGGCACCTGATGAAGATTTCTCTTTGTGCTTTTTGAACTGGTATTTCTAGAACCTGATGGTAACTATATCTTTTTTGACATTATTTATTAATATTCAGTGTTATATGTTTAATGTTAATGCTGTTGAATAGTGTCTTTTTATGGCTGCAGAATGGGTGAAGAAGCCAAGACAAGTTTCTCACTTTGTGGGACAGTAAAGTTAATGTTGATCTAAAAGGGGGTTGGTTTGTCCTGTTGTGGGTTGAAAAGAAATGGTTTGAGGTGCTGATTGAGCTCAGCTGGTAGAGCAGGCGTCCTTATATACAGAGGCTACAGTCGTTTGTTACGCTGGTCACCAAAAAAGATCATCTTAAATTCATCTTTAAGTTTTTTTTAAAAACCAATGCTATATAGCCAATCAAATACTTCTGTAAAACAAAACAAGACAATGAGTTTGTTTGGCTTCCAAGACAGAAATGGAAAAGCTGTTTATACTCTCAAGAAGCAACTAAAGAAAAATGTGTTAACTCTGCAGGATCCCACATTGAATGTTGTTAGTGACTTACCAGTTATTAAGAGCTATATAAAAAGTGTAGGGCGACAGTTTAAAAATACTAGAATAATCCTTTGACTACAGGGAACTTTTGTACATTTCTTGTGAGCACATACATACTGTAGATAATATATTTTAAGTTTATAGACACGGGCTGGCCGAGTTCTATCTCGTCTTGAAACATTGAACAAAAACAACATCTAAACCTGCTCTTAGGGACACAACCTAAATAGTTTTCAGAGCTTTATGCAAAAAAATAAAACAAATATCTGGAAAATAATATTAACAATAGAAATATTCCCACCACAGCAAGTGACCATGATAACGTGAAGCTAATGTCTATCCCATGTTTCTACATTCATACTCAGATTAAAGGTAATAAGAGAAGCTCTTTAAACATTTTATTTCCTTCACTTTTTTACCACACATACACAAACTATCAGACCTTTACACCTGAAAACGACACGGACCTGATGAGGAGAAGTTAACACCGTGTACAGCGAATACAACAACATTTACTCAAATAGCAAAAACACACTTTCACACATCACATAGCAGCAGCTTTACAATGGAAATACACAACATCAACACACACACTACCACACACCCAGAGCCATAAAGTCCATCTGTTGTCTGAGGGGTCAGTTAAGTGAAAAAGCAGAGACGGAGGCAACAAAGAGAGCAAAAGGTTTAAAAAAAAAAAACAGCTTGTAATATTGGCCGCCTGTTTTCCAAAAGGGAGATGTTAATCTGCAGATATATGACGGATGAGTCAAAGAAATAACTCAGCATGAGGAATGTTATGTCATAACTTCAGTGGCATCCAAGGTCCGTCAATAAGAAGGCCAATTGGGCTGAAAACCAGCAGCTAATGTGATCAACGTGTCAATCAGGGTTTTTAAAATACACTTGGCAAAAATCCTGTAAAGTGACCTTAAGGTAAACTCCCTCCCTTTAATCCCCGGACGTCTGCTAAGAGAGATTATCACAGCTTTCACTTGAAAACAACAGAAAGAGAAGAGAAACAAAGAGAAGATGACACAAACACACACCTTGCGTTTCTTCTTGCGGTGCTGAGGGAGGGCTTTCCTCGGCTTTGCGTGCGCTTTGCTGGCCGAGGAGCCCATGTCTCAGTGAACACAAACGCACACAGAACCACAAAAAAAACACTGAGCTCCTCTCTCCTGTCAGTAAATCCTTCCTCGCTCGATTACCAAAGAACGACACAAGCTCCACAGAACACACACACACGCTCCCACACTCTCTCTTTCTGCCCTCCTACTAGACGGGACACTCTCTCTCTCTCTCTTCTCTCTCTCTCTCTCTCTCTCTCTCTCTCTGCTCTCTCTCTCTCTCTCTGCTCTCTCGGCCCCTCCTCCCACTCTCTACCTGTTCACCACAGAGCTCCCTGTCCTCCTCCTTCACTCTGTGTCTCCTCCTCCTCCTCCTCCTCCTCCTCCTGCCTGAGTACTGAGCATTAGAAGAATGCGAGTTATTTCTGCGCCTCCTTCCTCTCTTCATATCTTTATTCCTATCTCAGTCGTTAACACAAACAAAACGAGCCCATCTGTATTTAACTCGTGGCTCTGTTCGTCCTCACTTTAAACTGCTATCTGACTTTTTGTCGCCTTTGATTCCATTCTGTCTAAAGTTTATGTAACTTCACATGTAACACCTTCCACTTATCCGTTGAACCAGTTCAGTTCACCTGAGGACGTTATTTGTTAGACATGTAAAAATGTAAAGCACTAAAGAGAAGAGTCAACACACACATGTTTCACAGAGCGCCCACTAGAGTCTTCAAATAGCATTTTTGGAAAACACCTTTACATACATTTTATTATTATTTACGTTTAATGAATACAACTGAGAGTAAAGTCAAGTGTGTACAGTATTCAATCATGAACAAATGAATCCACGGGGACTTTTAGGTGAATCATTATCACTATCATGTCCTTATCATATCGTTATTATTACATCATTATTTTAGCATCTTAACCCATTGTTCTCGTACTTCTCATGTATTCTTATCATGTGATGGTCATATCAGTATCATATCATTATTGTCTAGGTATCTTAACAATATCGTATTGCTAATTTATTGTTATCATGTAGTTATCATGATGTTTTCACAACATTCATCATACGGTTCTCTGAGCCCATTGTTGAATCATTAACGTATTGTTATTCTATTTTTATCACATCAGTAACGTCTCTTATCATTATCATGTTGTTTTTGTTGTTGTTAGTTATCTTGGTATGTTGAATTGTTATTCTGATCGTATTGTTATTATAAAGGTATTGTATTATATAGTTATCATACAACGATCTGATTGTAATCTATTACTTTGCTATGGTCATCATATTGTTATCATATGATTGTATCTTCAGTGTACAGAGTCATTGAGTAATATCATTATTATCATGATGTGGTCATAAGGGTATCATCAGTGTATTATTATCACATCATCATCATTTCATGTTCCACAGTGTTCTGGCTGAGTTTTTGTCTATAATTACTTTTGTTGTCTGTCTGCTGGAGATGTTTCTTCCTTCCTGATAATTGTTTTGACACAAAGACTTAAGTAATAACTGAAACCAAGTAATCCTCTGACATTTGCAGTGAAAACTGTAAATATTACAGGTGGAAGAATACTGATGGGGAAATGTTTTCATGTTCATCTTACAACACTGCATGCTAGCACCACATTGTTCTTGGATGTTTATTGTCCTCTTGTTTTTTTTGTAGATTAATGGTTTTTATTATCGGATCAACGCGTTGTCTGGCATAGTTGTGAATACCTGATGGACGATACTCAAACTAGTTTGTTTGTTTATTTGGATCCCCATTAGATCCAGCACAGCGAGAAGCTATTCTTCCATCATGTGATATGTGGTCAACTCTGCCGTCTGCTGATTGAAAAGTAAAATAAAACCCAGCTCAAAAGAGACTGTGTTATTTTTGACTTGACTTTCAGTATGTCTGGGTTGTTTTTTTGTTGTGGTTGTTGTTGTATAAATCCTCCATTATTCTAATCTAGGCTGGTAGGTTCATTTATAGAAACCTGCTGCTATCACTGATGCCATTCAAATGACCCAATCACAGACAAAGAAGTCAAAGTGAAAAGAACAAACAAGCACTAGTTTTAAGAATGGAATTTAAGGATGAAATTACCCACCCATATTAAAACCTCCACCCTTCCTAAAAAAAGAGCCCCCTCCCCAGCCTCAGGGGGAAAGCAGACTGTCAATGGAGGGAGCAGTTTATTTTCACCCGTCACCTTTAGCAGCACAGATAAGATAACTTTGGTATTCCTGCTTCAGATAAAAACATGCACACATTATCTCAGAGGCACAAGTCAAAGAGCTGCAGGGCTCAAACTGCAGCTGCTGCATTCCTCCACACCCCCCCCCCTTTACAGCAAAGCATGCCTTCAGTCTAATCAATAACCAGGCAGGCTGCGGCTCTGTGAACATCTGAACACTCTCTCAGGTGGTGCTAAATAACTACTTATAAAAAGGCGTTTATGGTCACACACACACACACACACACACACACACACACACACACACACACACACACACACACACACACACACACACACACACACACACACACACACACACACACACACACACACACACACACACACACACACACACACACACACACACACACACACACACACACACACACACACACACACACACACACACACACACACACACACACACACACACACACACACACACACACACACACGCAAAGATAAGGAGCCACTTTCACTCAGAATGACACACAGCTAGCTACACGGCTAACAGCATAAGCTAACAATAAATAAAACATATTCAATCTTGTGCAAATTTTCCAACTGACAGGACATCAGGTTTTTTTTTTTTATGATTTTAAAGATTTTACTTCATATGTTTAACATTGTAACAGTTTGCCTGTGATTATTTTCCTTCAGGAAGTCGATCTTATTCCTGCAGAAATATAACTGTAAAGAAAATGCTGTTTTAATGAAGTATCAATTTAGAGACGTTCTGTACAAAATACAAAACTTTTAAGAGAAAAATAAACTTGAAGTGTAAATTAAAAAAGGATGAAGACGGGCTCCGGTGGCCTAGTGGTTAGTTTGCATGCCCTGGGTTCGATTTCCTAACATAAATAATGAAGTTTATGACCTTTAGTTGTGTTATTAACTGGACAGAATCTGTTGGAGCAAGTTATGTTGACGATTCATATCAACTTTGAGTTATTAAAAAGAAAAGTCACAAAACAGGGATAAAAAATAAAAATGAATTAATGAGCTATCACAAAGTAAGGCAAGAGAGAAACCAAACAGTTCAGACAAAAAGAAGAGATGAAAAATAAAAAGAAGAAAAGAGTGATGATGGATTTATATTCACAGATTGGTTCACACAGAGAGGAGAAGAGTCTCAGAGGGTTTACCTATTTGTTAAAGTGTTCCCTGCTTAATGAAAGTATTGTGGCTCCACTAGCGTGTCTGTGTTTGATATTTTATTTACCTTGGCATTATGACTCCGAAAATAGAAAATCACTCATCCCACTAATCAGAGAGCAAATATTCATTTAGCAGCCTTCGATGTCCGGGACTCTTTCATTGACACATCCTGGTGCCTGAATGGACCAATCAGCAGCTGCCCTCAGCCTGGGATAAACCAGCCCACTCCAGTATAAACTGACTTCAGTCCTAAGATAACTAAATACAGTGTCTGTCATTACTTGAATCTACAATGCCTAAGTCAAGATTGTATTATTATTTATTTCATTAAGTTAACCAAAAGGACATTCACACATTTAAAATGTCTTTATGTTTTATTTATTTTCAGTGTCATCACACCAAACTTCTATCTGGGAGCCTATTTGATGCACTTTTTCAGATTTTTTCCATAAATGCTGACTCACAATCAAACATGAAAACATTTCCAGCCGACCACTTTTTTAGTATCTTTAGACACAGTTGTCGTTATATTCATACATTAATGAAGTTCACGAGTTAATTTTCAAATTAGTATAATGAATCATAATGAAATAAAGGATTTTAGTAGGTTACTGAGCTAAGCTAGGGGCAGCTAAGCTGTGTGAGTGCAGAGTTGATGTATTATATCATACCACTGCTGTTATTGTCGTGCACAGAGATAATTTCACACTCTTAGCGACATGTGTTCTGAAATTCTATGACAATTTTTCAGGAGTGCATGTGTGAAGACAGCATTTGTTTCTGGAATTTGGAAACTGAAGGGAATATGTCCAAATGTGGGGAATAAAGTCAAACTTTCAGTACAAGTGTCGGACATACAAAGAAAAACATCAGTTTTTTGATGTTTTTTGATGTTAGTTGTTATTGTTGTTTTTAGCCTGGCATAAATATACGACCAAAACATCAGAATTAAATCTTGACAGACAATGTAAAAATATTTGATACTCAAATTTCCACTTTATTTATTCAAAACTGAACTACTCTCATACTTAAAAATGTTCATCTTTACCATGAAAAACAAGATTAGAGAGCTGGTGAGTCTGACTGAAACCTGTCACACCTGAGAAAGCATTTTGAGAGATGTGTCATAAGCACACACACAAGGCGGTCTCTAACCTCCCCATCTGTACTTTCAACAGTCACTCACAATCAGAAAAACTTACTGCAGTCTCAAACAAACACACAATAATCTGAAATAATGAGCAGCTCCTCACTCACTCACTCACTCTCAGGATGTTTCCACGTCATCATGACACATTGTTGTTGTGGTTGTTGTCAATAGCAACTCTTGTTCACTCAGACATGTCTGCCTCTAAACATCCGCCCAAAAACAGCCATTATCAGCCCTCTCCTCCTCTGCAAACTATCTCATCACGCTCCTTAAAAAGCAACACCTCCATATCAACACCAACAACAGAGCGACGCTTTAATTATAGGCTTGGTTTTGTCCTGCCAAAGGGGGAGGATGGTGTGCTGATAACTGATTGTTTCCCCTTGTTTGGCCCTTTGAAGCTGCACTAGAGCTTTTACATGTTCAAACACATCCAACTCATATGCCTTTAGAGTGGAGACTAAAGGATCCTTTAGCACTAAGTAATATTAATAATCAACCATATAGATAAAAGGGTTTGATTATCCAGAGAGAGAAACACTTAAAGGAAGTACAAGGTACAGGCTGGATTCAAAATATTCTATAATAAAAAGTTACTCAAATAAATGTCCAGATCTACTTCTGCCCTGACTCCTGACTCACTACAGAGAGAAAAAAGAAATAAACTCTAAAATTACCAGCAGGAATTCTTGATATGAAATAATATAAAACCTGAACTTATAGCAGATCATTACAGTAAGTAATGTGAACCACTAATTATTATTATTATCATATAAAGTTATAATAACATACAATACAACGTAAAAAAAAAAAAAACTTAAAAAAAATATTTTTCCTTTCATTTTTCATCCATTTGGAGAGGGGGTGTTTTCTGATTGGTTAACTTTAGTATAAACACTGTAGGTGGTGTACCTCAGTGAAGAGATGTTGGATGACTGTAGCCAGAGCCTCCACCTTCTTGTTCCCCTGGATGAGCAGCTTCCTCAGCTGGTTGATGGCCTGGTTCTTCTTCTCCGCCTGCTCTTTGCTCTGGTTTGGTTTAGTCTGCACCGCCCCATCCCCCGGAACAACAGCTCCGGCTGAGACCAGCCTTGATGAAGTCTGCAGTCGGGATCCAGTTCTGGGGCTGGACCGTGACCCTGTTCTGGCTTTGAACCCCAGACCAGAGGCTCCGGTGGTTCCTGAACCGGTGGTAGTGGTGGTGGTGGTATCAGCGGCAGGTACTGGTGTCACTGGTGTGTTAGCTTTCACCACTTCTGGTACCTACAAATAAAGAAAACATCACATCATATATCACATATATAGGGACACCAATTGAAAGGACTCATTTTTTGGGGGGACACAGTTGGATATCAGGGACAGAGAGAGAGAGAGAGCGGGGAATGACGCAGAGAAAAGAACAATGGGTCAGACTGGAACCCAGGCCAAACCATTGGAGGACAACAACCTCCACACTTGGGACACAACCTACCCGCTAGGCCATCTGATGCCCTGAGGAGCACATTTTTTATTGTAGTATAACAATACTATACTGCTCAGCATGTCTACAGGAGAATTCCAGGATTTTAGTGTCCTATCTTATGTCGAGAATCCTTACACATTTTAGAAATCTAAACTAGAAGAGAGATATATTGTTATACTAATAAATGGGAGTGAAAACCAGTGGTGCAGGATTAACAAGGATGGAGACAAATAATTTAAAGCAAATTGAATTTTGTGTCAAACTTCCTGTCAAAGGACACTCTGTCTCTATGTCTCATCTATCAGATCTTACTCAGTAATGTCTCCTTGTGAAATGTCTCACACACAACAGAGCTGAATCTGCATTTCACAATTTGAAGAAGAAGAAACCTACCTCTGGTGGAGTTTGCTGATGGTTCTGGTTGTTTCCTCCTGCAGGCTCTGCTCCCTGTGAGCCGCTGCTGGTGTTTATGGGTCTTGCAGGAGCCTCCCGAGGTTTGTTTTTGTCCACTGCAAGAGAACGGCGACATCTGAGTGTGTGGGTGGCAGGTCTAACATTCAACATGGTATCACGTACACACAAACACACACACAGAACACTCAGTCAGCCCATCAACAAAGAGGACGAAACACACCACAGCAGGGTCTAAACATAAAACTACAACCACTCACTCGTCCTCTTCATACACAAACAAACAAAAACATGTGTGAAAATAACTTTAAAAAAACAGGATAAATCATATAAACACCACAACAACAAGAAAAACACAAACAGCCTGCACACAACTCGTACATTCGCTCATCGGGTAAACGAGAACACGCCCTGCTGACTGTAGGAGACTGATGCATCATGGGATTGTGTGGTGATGATAGCCAGTCTCTGTGTATGTGTGTGTGTGTGTGTGCATGTGTGTGTGTGTGTGTGTGTGTGTGGATCCTGAATGTGCATTAAGGAGTGCATTACCAGACACAAAGCAATTAGAGAGCTCTCCTGTCCTCTCTGTACAACATCTTACACTCTCTCTCTCAGCCTCTATCTATCTCTCTCTCTCTCTCTCTCTAGTGTTTTCCTTCCACCCGTCCAGCTTTTCATTTGCTGGCTGTCATCATTCAGCATCACTCGCTGACTGGAAGATACGGTGTTCAAATCTTGAGGAATAAAACCTTAAAAGGGAAATTCAAATACTTGGAGAGTTAAAGAGTAAAAGGTACAAAAAGTCTTGAGTGCACTGGTAGACTGGTTCAGCCTGCAGCTTTGAAACAGGCTGTAATGGCTGCAACATCATTTATGTTAGGGAATAAGGGCCTGATCAAATTACATCCACAAAAAACAGTGTTGTTACTGCAGGTTCAGGCTCACATTCTCTCTTCAAACTCTCTGACATTATTACAGAAAGGATCCCTGCAGAGCTAGACCTTTTTGTTGAGTAGTTACATCAATCTCTTCAAACCCACCACACCTAATTGACATTGACAACAATAATTTGACCTCACAAAACAAAGTAGTTGCCAATGTATTGCTGGTTAGTTTTTTTTGTGGGAGGGTTTTAGATTTGGGTGATGTTTGGGCCATCTCTTCTTCTGTTGGCTCTTAACCTGAGGATAGACAGGAAGCACCAGGAAGAGAGAGAGGATGACCTCAATCAAAGAGCCGAGGTTTGGAATCAAGCCAGAGCTGCAGCTCAGTACACATGATCTGCCAAGTCAACTACAAGGTCACCTGTGACTTTGGTGTTTTAAATGCTTCATTCAAAAATGATATCACTTAAAACTAATCTTTTAGGGAAACTTGTATCAATGCAAGGGAAAAAAAAAACTCAACTTGACTCCACTGTCAATGGTGACTTTGAAGAGAGAAAAGACTGTTTGTTGTTCTAGTGTTTCTCTGGATACTTTCTGTAATTCTGTTGGACTAGTATTGAGGTAGAAACAAACATTTGTCTCTTGATTCAGATCATTAAATAAGTAAATATGCGGCCCAGGTTAGAAAATACAAGAAACCCTCTTTATACCAGACTATAATGCTACCAACCCTGTCAGCTAACATTGACTTGACAAATGAAAGAGACAGAATAATATCTACTAAAATCACACTTCAGCTCATCAAGAGCAACAGAGACATCTGACAGTCTCTCCTCCCCCACAGATAGACGGACTGACAAATCACACCGGCTCACAGGCTTCTGAATAACTCAACAATTCATGAAAAAGGTCCTCCATAACTTGGCAACTTTAAATAGAGTGAGTCATTTGGTACGATCATTTTTTTTAAGCTGTATTGAGTTTTTTTTGTGAAATAAAGTGTCTGTAAATAATATTAAATACTCAGACCATTAGGGAGTAGTGTAGGCTGTGTATTTGTCCATTTATTACAAACCTTACTCAAAATATTCATTTAAAATCCAGAATCCACTGAAGAAAAGCTCTGATCTGTGTTTGAGTGTTGCTGCTCAGAAAGGTCAACACAGCCTTGAGCCTTTAATGACTTCTTTAAAGACGCTGCCACCTACTGGCAACCAGCGAGCACAACATGCTGGTGTGTGTGTGTGTGTGTGTGTGTGTGTGTGTGTGTGTGTGTGTGTGTGTGTGTGTGTGTGTGTGTGTGTGTGTGTGTGTGTGTGTGTGTGTGTGTGTGTGTGTGTGTGTGTGTGTGTGTGTGTGTGTGTGTGTGAGAACAGATCCCACAGGTCAGGAAAAAGAAAGGTTGAATTTAATTGAAATGGATTTCAACTGCTGTGATGTTCAGCAGGAGAGGGATTAGACGTTTAACGTTGTCAATCACCCCCCCCCCCCCCCCCCCCCACACACAGGTTCTAATTAATGAGTCAACAATTGACAGAAACAAACATCCTGATCGCTCTAAAGAACATCAGCTGTCACACGCTGAAGGACAAGCAGGAGTCACTTTTACTTTTTGTACAGACGAGTTGATCACTGAAGCCACAGATTCATCACTTATACACAGCTGGAGTGTGTGACGACTTAAATCAAATCTGAATTCCTGTATAAGCAGAACATAATGTTCTAATGGTTAATGCAATGTGTGAAAATGTGCAGAAACGAGAGGGAGGTGAGAACATGTTGAATAAATCTATGCTTCAGATTGGATTTGTCACATTGGAACACCAACATTAATTAAATAGTTTTATAAACGTACATGTATTTTCTTCAACAAATATGGTTAAATATACGTTTTATTTCATATTATTATAAAACTTTATGTAAAGGGGAATCCTCATATTCTGAACCTGGGCTTTATTTTTGCATATTTAACTTTAACTTTTGAGAGGAACAAAACGTTTGACTCCAGAGTTCTGCGTCTGATTATTAAGTCCAATTAAAATGTTTCAGTGTGACACTAAAAGGCTCGGATTGTTATTCTAGATGTTCATGTTATGGAAAGAATCCCACCAGATATAGACTTGTTTTTGTCGAGGTTAGACCCCTCCTCTAACCCTTACATCACTCTCTGGTCACCCGCTGCCTCTGCTACTGAGTGAGTTTGTGTTATTGTGTGACTTTTGGATGACACAACTACTTCAATTGAATCCAATTCAATATTTATCAAACTCACAAACAAAGCAACTGATTTAAAAACAGTGATGTTTTTGTCATTTGGAGTCTTGAGCGACGTCACAGTTTCTTTATCCTGTTTAAAAAAGCATCCTACCTCAATCGCAACTTCTTTCAGTGGGGGGATATCGTCTTCATTGTTGTAAGACATTTAGATAACAATCTGAGCCTGTTAGCGCTGAACAAAGAACTTTTAATAGACCTTCTTTAATCCCCACAATAATCTCAGGGGATTACATTGCAGCCGTAACAGTCAGGCTGAAACAATAGACTGGAGTAAATCCAAAAAGTAAAAAAAAAAAAAAAATCAAATTAAATCAGGCTCGGGTTGTAAAGATACCCCTCTTTAATATGTTTACTACTGGAACTGCACAAGAGCTGCCCTTAGTAACACATGTGGTGTGTGAGTACAGGTGATGAGGGTTTGTACCTGGAGTCTGCAGAGCAGTCATGCAGAGCTGCTGAGCCCAGACTGAGAGAGAAACAACACTATTAGCATGCACATCACATCACATGAGGAAAGCAGCCAGAAGTGTGTCATGAGATACTCCTTCAGTACACAGAAAGATGGCCTCCATTATCAATCAGAAGAATCTGTAAAACATGTGCTGTAGGAACTTTTGTGTCAGTCTAGCCAATAATAATTTCAGCCATCTTTTTGGTACAGTCTTATGATCACACTTAATGACTGACTGCTTTGTTTTCCATCAGATCATCTTTTACCAGACAGGAAGAGAGGAAGGATAAAAAAGGGTCAGTGTAGGAGGAGTGGGGGCTTTTCTTTTTAGAAAACATAAAAAGTTTTTACTTTCGCTCATTGACAGAGCTCCTCATGGAAGTGTTCAACCAACCACACTTACATATAACACCCAGTGTTTCCACAAGACTGACATGTTGTGTGTTCAAACATATACAAGTGATTTTAAAAATGATGAATCTACATAATAATCAGAAAACAAATCTGCAATTTAAAAGAGGAATGCAACTCGGAATAAATACTTATAAAAATAAGTGGATAAAATACGATTATATACAAATAAAAATAAATATCTAAATTTGTGAAAGAGATAAAAACAAAAGAAGTTTAGAATAAGAACATGCAATATCTACACCAATTGAATTACATTTTAAAAAATATATATATTTTAACTATTGTTTTTTTTTCCTATCTATACTTTTGTTTTAATTGCAGATGATTCCATACTTCTGAGTATGAAAATGGTATTAAAAACGTATCACAGCCGATTGGAGCAGAAACCTGTGAGCTCACTGCACGGCCAGGTCTGATCAAACACCACCTTCTCAGAGTCAGATTAACGGATTACTGTATGTGTGTTTGCAGGACAAAAAAGTGTGCCAGCACAGCAGGACACACAAGGACAGCTCACGCACGCGCACACACACACACACACACACACACACACACACACACACACACACACACACACACACACACACACACACACACACACACACACACACACACACACACACACACACACACACACACACACACACACACACACACACACACACACACACACACACACACACACACACACACACACACACACACACACACACACACACACACACACACACACACACACACACACACACACACTGCTCAGGATGTCTGTGAGTCCGAGATGACATTCCTTTTGAGGACAATAAAATGTATAATTTCTATTTCTTTGTATTGGACAAAAACACTGTTTTTTCTAGAAGACCTTCATACCGATGGATATTATTCTATAACAGACCAAAACAGTATAGGTATCATTTTGTGTTCATGTTTGGAACTGTACCATGTACCCTCTCCACTCAGCTGCAGACTCTCAACAACACAACTAGACTGAGATGCAACACGACTACAGAGCTGACGAGAGAGGATAAGCAGGCGCTGATGTTTAAGGATGGATGGAGGACATGAGCAG